AGCCACAAGACCTAACACTAAAAACTACTGATAAAGAGAAACTTAAAAGAACCCAAGAATAAGTTCATGCTGTGTCCATATGGAGGACCAAAGACAGAGAACATTCTACTGTATATGTAGAATGGAAAGGAATTTGCAGAAAAATTATGAAACCTGTAAAAGAATTTGTCAGATGGCAAATATACAGAACAACTTTTCTATATGCCAGAAATGAGAACAGAACTATTTGTGAAGAAAGTGGACCACAGAAGGGAAATGAACTGTCAAACCAGAACTGCGGGCACCATGAAGGTTTTTGTGAAATTCGGGTGAAACCCTTTCCTGGTGTACAAAATCATAACTGTTTCACTGTGGGTAGACTTACACTGCAGGAGATGTTCAGGGGTGTTCTTAAGGCAGGGGAATGCAGAACATGATAGAAGTCTGCAGCTACGTGAAGAAATGTGAAGCAGTATTTAACTTATAAGATAAGGCACTGTAGAAAGTAAAAATGAAAGCAGTGTGTTGTTGGATTTGTGTCATAGAGAAACTAAAATGTAAGTGAGCATTAGTGCATGTGCCAACAGGAAAGAGATAAGAAAAACTGCTGTTGCAAGGGGCTTTGCACAAACTGGTAGACTATCATTTAAAGTAGACTGGATTAAGTTGAGAATAGACAGTGTGCCCGCATAAATAATTACCCAAAACTTAGAGCCAAGGAGCAAACAGAGAAGGGGAGATGAAGTAGAATTATTCTCAATCCTAAAAAAAAAAAGGCAGAAAAAGAGACCATGGGGGACCAAGTCTCTGTGACATAGTGCATTTAAACCCAACTTAATCAATTATCACATTAAATGTACCAACCCATATAACAGCACCAAGCAGGTGATCCTACCATACCAAGCTTCCATGACACACACTTCAAATACAAAGACACAGACACACTAAAAGAGAAACAGATTGGGAAGTAGGTATCAAGTATCTTGGCAAAAACCACTTATTACATAAGGGAAGTTTGATTTTTAACTCAGAATTCAATGGTACAGCCTGGGGAAGTCAAGGCAGCAGGCTCTCTAAGCAGCCAGTAACATCATATCCCAAGGCAGGAAGAGGAGAGCAATGGACACTTGCAGCTGTCCAACTTTCTCTCTCCGTTTGCATAATTCAGGATCCCAGTCAGGGAATGACACTACCCACAGTGGGCAGGTCTTCGTACCTTAATTAACATAATCAAGATAATCTCTCACGGAGATTCCCAGACACTAACTTTAATCTAAATAATTTCCACCCCCCCACCAATCTCTCCCCTCTCTCCGTGCCCCCCCCAGAGAATTTTTCTCAGAGGTCAAACTCCAGGTGGTTCTAGATCCTGTCAAGTTAACATTGAACACTGACTATAACACCCAGTTAACAGTAATAAAAACGAAGTGGTAATATCTTACAATCATTGGTTGATATCAGGCCTAGGAAATCACTAGTGAGAAGTTATTCCATAGAGACAAAGGCCAATTCAATAAGAACACATAACAATCATGTACATTCATGTGCATAACAGACATTCAAAATACATGAAAATACATGAAGTGAAACTCAACAGAACTGTGAGAAGTGAATAAGTCCATAGAACAGATTTCAACAAGCACCTCCTCTCAATAATTAATAAACTTAAGAAGATAGAATTACCAAATATGTAAACAATTTAACTGATGCTAGCAAAGGATTCGATATAACTGATATTCATAAGACAACAAAACAGAAAACACATTCAACTATGCAAACAAAAGATATTGAGAAAGGAGCCACATCCTGTACCATAACACAGGCCCTGAATTAATATCAAATAATGAACATATACAAAGTACTTTTTAATCACAACTGCATTAAGTTAAAAATCAGTAATAGTAATCCCACATGTGTACAAAAATGTGCACAAGAAATAGTAAATAGTAAAATAAACTTAAAGATTTGAGAACAAAAACAAAATTTGTGTCAAAAAGCTAAATCAGTACATGGAGGGGACAGGCCAGTTTTTGTTATGGGTGTGGTGACCAGTAAGTTGATCATGCCCCCCGTGGATGGCCCCACGCCCATGTGACTTTAGACAGCATTGATTAAACTCAGTGGGTTATGGAAAACAAAGAAGGGAGGGAAAGGGGACAGGAAGCTGAGAGAGCTCAGTTGGAGAATCCAGGGATCTGGGAGGAGCTGGGAAGTGAATATGATCAAAATACATTGTATACATGTATGAAATTCTTAAAGAATAAGTACACCTATAATATTAAAAAAATCTTAACTCTGTGGCCTCAACTTTCAACTCGAAATTCTAGCAAATAAGAGAAGATTAAATACAACCAAGCAAAGCAATAATAAAGAACGGACATCAATTTTCAAATAATAAGTGGCTTTTTAAAAAACTCATTAAAATTGGTATCTCTATTATGCTGAGCAGGAGACAAATGAGAGTAGGAGGAAGCAAAGCCAACAACATCTGGAATGAGAGAACAGCAACAGCTCAACTTCTGCAGTTGTAGGCAATCTAATAAGAAGGGCCTAGAAGGAACATGGCCAGGTCTGAGATGTTACCTCCCTTCTGACTTGGTGTGTCACTGTCTCATAACCTGACAAAAACAAACAACAACAAAGATTCCTGGCACAAAGTTGAAGATTTAAAATCGGAAACTATCAGGAGCCGGGTCAGTGGCTCAGTGGTTAACAGCACTGGCTGCTTTTGGAGAGGACCAAGGTTCGCTTCTTAGCACGCACATGGCTGCCCACAGCCGTCTGCAACTTCAACTTCAGGAGATCCAGTGCCCTCCTATTACTTCCCTGGGCACCTGTAGATATGTGATACACACACACATATATCCGGAGAGATACTCATATACGTAAATCATACTCGTATACAAAATACTCATACATAAAAATAAATAAAAGTTTCTTTAAAAAACTGAAAAATGTCAGATTGAACTTGAAGAAGGGGGTATGAAAGACATGGGAAGAAATTAATTAAATAAAAATATACAATAATAACAGTAGTAAGCTGTGAGATGCTCTCCAAAAAAAACTAGCAAGGCTTTTAAATTATAAATATGGCAAAGGTTACAATGTCAGGAACAAATTCAGGTGCCTATGGGTCAGTGGACACACAAACATAAATATTACACTGGTTTTCATACTAGGGAACTGTGAAAAAATTTGGAAAGTTTTAATACCTATATATATATCAAAGAAACTGAACTAAAATTTTGCTTACAAAGATAGCAAAGTCCATCTTTCTTAATAATTAGGAAAGAAATGAAGTCAATTTCAGATGTACCTTCAGGTTATATAGAAAGAGATCAAAATGACTACCGGCCAAACCCGACCAGGACAATTTAAAAATAATTAAAAAAAACCCTCTAAGCTCCCTCCTTTATGAACATGCATGGAAAATAGTCAGAAACAGAATTTTAACATATCAAACCAGAGAATATAGACCCCAATGGTACCCATGACCATGGAAGTGCCTTTCCGGAACACAAGGAGGGCCAACCAAGGCAGCTGTACACACCAATAATAATGAGGGGCTGTGTCACTTTTTCTCCAGAGACACAGAGCAGTTGTCCCATAAACCCAACACCTAGTCATTATAGAAATCTATTATCAAATCCTGGATAAGGGAAATGCCTTACTATATAACTAGACTTTAAAGGTCCCTACAAACCCCACACCAAGGATTATCACTCCCTACTGAAGTTGGAAAGAAGCTGTCTGTCGACAATCTTTCTGTTTCCTATACACTGGCAGCTCCATCCAGCCTAGAGAAACAGAAGGAATAAGCCTGGGAGAATAAAACAGAAATGTGAGCTCAGAAGTGCCTGTCACATGTGACACTACTGTATATGTAGAATGGAAAGGAATTTGCAGAAAAATTATGAAACCTGTAAAAGAATTTGTCAGATGGCAAATATACAGAACAACTTTTCTATATGCCAGGCATACAGAAGCAACTAGAAAATAAAACAATTAGAATCACATAAAAAAGCATAAAATGTCTAATTGCAAACATCTGAGTCATATATGTGTGCATACTACAGAATATGGCAAGAAAAACAGAATCTGGACTTGGCATTAGGATTTTTAAGTGAATGAAGAAATAGGGGAGGGCTTGAGAAGTGTATCAGTGTTTAGAGGGAGCACTTCTCTTGCAGAGGACCCTAGCTCAGTTCCCAGCACCCACATTTGTCCTGCAACTCTGATTCCAGGGACTCCAAAGTCCTCTTCTGACCTCGACGGGCAATTGTACTCATGTGCACACATCCACCACCACCACATGCAATTAATGAAAAATAAAAATAAATACTTAAAAATCAATCGATAAAAATAATTTAAGAAAGGCAAAGAATAGGTGTAAAAATGCTGAAGATTTAACTTAGAGGCTTTATATTACTGTTCCAGGAGTTAGAAATTCATAGTGATTTCAGAACACTGATTAATTCATGCTGGCATAAATATAGGCAGAGCACTGGAAGCAAATAAAAGGGTAAAAATACACTCATACTTACATAGTCATTTACTATATGGCATTATATTGTAGAAAGAAATAAGTAATTATTTTCAATATTAATTTCAATTACTTGCAATAAATGATTAAGGGTCTAGGGAATATTTCACAAAGAAAATAATGAATTTAGACATTTAGCTCACAAAATATTATTCTTTCCATGTAAATTGTAAATCTCAATGTGAGGATAAACTTCTTAAGCTTCTAGAAGATGGCATCATGGCCTTCAACAGGTCATATACACATATGGTTGTACACACACACACACACACACACACACACACACACACACACACACACGGTACTAATTGTGAAAGAGAAGTTTATAACCTGGGGCAGCAGAAAGGCTCAGTTGGTTAAGAACCCATACTCTCCTTGCAGAGGGCCCAAGTTCAGTTCCCACTCCCACACTGAGTGGCTCACAATGACTCTAGGGGACCCAGCATCATCTTCTGGCCTCCTTAGGAACCTGCTCAGA